GCTATTTTCTTTTGTATTGTACCTGGATTTTTGTTTCTAATTAAAGTTACGGTTTTTCTTTCTTTTCCTCCAAATAGGACACTTGCATGGTTTCATTTTGGACACTACCCTACTTTGTGCCACCACTCCTTTTTTCTTCATTTCCTTGTAGCTCCCATTAGTTCTGTACAGACTTGTTTCCCCTCAGTCCCTATTATTCTCTTTGCTCATTTTTACTCTAATATATTCTGCCTCATATACTGAGCATACCTCCCCATTTTTCTTTGCATCAATCAAAAATCTTTCCCTAATTGCCATAACTGCTTATATCATGGGAATGGTATAGGTTGCACTGTCTATTAAACAATTCTGTTACATCCTTGCTTTACCTTTATCAGGTTTTGCCCTTGTCCTTTACATTTGCACTGTTCTTGTAAGCAAGAGCAACTTCGTGCTTGGAAAATATGTAAAGAGCAAATGGCAGGCACACCTTTGTGAAAACGGTGGGCATGCACTGTAATGCTGCCAATCTTGGCTTGCCACACCATGTCCTGATGTGTTTCTCAGGGACCTGCATTTGCTCTTTGCACTTGATACATTTACCTTTTGGGAAATACCGGCGTTACTCTATGACAAGCAGAATTCTCTCCTAAAGTGTGAAACAACTGAGTGGGGACATTGTTCCAGATTTGTTTTGAACAGCATGTACTATGCACTGATGGTCTGGAGTAGAAGTTTAGTAAAGAAGCATCTGCCAGGTCAGGAGGATGGCGAAGTAAAAACTGAGATGCTCCAGTGGTTTCAAGTGGCAAAAGAGTAGAGAGAAATAATTCCCTGAAATGAAATACCACGTTCTTTGTTTGTGCAATTGTTAGGCAAAACTGGTTGAGACGTTTACATGCTGTTAATATATACTTGTACTGGTGGAGCATGAGCTTGGCATGTGTGAGACACCAGTACTTCCAGCTAAAAAAAAAAATATTTGGTAATAATACTAGAAAAACCTTTGACCCAAATCCTCCAGGGAAACATGGAGTCAGATTTGATAGTCCAAGGAAAGGACAAGGGTTCTCTGTATCATGCCTCCTTCTTCATTCACAATTTGACCCTCAGTGTGCCGTGCGGCCCTATTTAAATAGCTGAATTACCTCATGAATAATTTGCTTTGTATGTCTTAATGTGTCATATTTGTATAAATGGCTACTTCCCATGAGCATTTCACTTCTAATAATATAGTCTTGGGATAATACCCCCTTCCTGTCTTCCTACTTGCTGTTCTCCAGCCCTTTCTATCAGGTTTTTGCAAACCAGCTGCCAAAAATTAGTAACCCTTTTGATTTAGAAACCTTATTTACCATGCTCACTAGGGGTTTATACTGCTGAACAAAGGCATGCTCTAGTCTTGCCCTTGAGTTGATAACAAGGCAGGCCTTCTTTAAAAAGGGTGTCCTGCCAACCTGACTGTTCCTTCCAGCTCATGCAGCTGCTTTTTACACACTGTATTTCTTAAACCAATCTCTCTGCCCAATTAATAGCCCCCATCCAAACCTGCCGGCTGGGCAAGCCTGCTGTTGAATGAGATGCTTCTCTCTCTTTAAATAGAAGACTCATTGTCTAAGTGCCCTAGGGCAGAGGTAGTTGTAGAAGGAGTAATACCAGAGAGCCAAAATTGTATAAACCTGTTGTATATCAAATTGCCAGTCTAATTAAAGTTGAGAGAGTAAATGGATGAGGTGTTTTTCAAAGAGAAGGGAGAATGTGGGTAAATTAGCTTCCATATTCCTAAAAGCTTACTATAAGGAAATTAAAGAAATATTCATTTATTTCTTGCTGACTAAAGGATAGGAATGGTGACAAAGGTTGGTTTGTTGCAAGGCCAAAAGAAAAGACGAACAAAGCCAATCTTCCTACTAACTTGGCTTTTCTTGAGTCAATGTGGTGCTATTTTCTCTGTAAGTACATTGTACAATTTGTCAGGCCTTTGTTTATAGGATAGATGGGTTTGGATGGCTTGTTTTATTTTTCTGGTGAGGTAAAACATAACAAAGTAGGACTTACTACATTGGGAGGGCTTCTGGTCACACATTCTGGAGGTTCATCTGCAGGATACTCCTGCTGTAGTCAAAATCTCACAGGGGGATGGTTCTGATGTGTCAATAAAACAGCATGAGCTTCCTTGTTTTCAGTACAATGGACAGCTCCTTGTGTGCAAGGCAGGATGCTAACGTTAGAGAAAATAATGCTTTCATGGAGCTCTTGTGTACAGATTGGTCATTAGACTGGAACTGTAATATCTATTGAATAAGTGAACCTAATAAACCTGTTTACTCTCTCTTGTACCGTTACATCTACTTTTATCACAGTTTCATCGCCAGCTAAAGTGATAACGGTCCATTTGAAAACTGCAAAACAAAATATTTAAGGAACAGTAGGGTGGTTAAATTCATGGTATGTTAGACCACTAATGCTGTAGTAGAGGGTGGTGTTTGGAAATGTGGAAAGGATGTGTGTTCTAGTCACCTGCCAACTTACGATAACTTCATGAATTTCACAGAGTTTCTTAGGCAAAGAATACTCAGAGGTGGTTTTACCAGTTCCTTCCTCTGAAACATAGCCTACAGTGCCTGATATTCGTTGGCAGTCTTCCATCTAACTACTAACCAGGAATGACCCTGCTTAGCTTCCAAGATCAGACAGGATCTGGTGCCTTTAGGTTATTTAAACACATTGGGGAAAGGAGAAAGAGCTGCAAAGATCTCTTCTTGACCACTGGAAGCTTCTCTGATTATAGTCTTTAGCATGGTGAAAGAAGTGTCAGACAAAAATTTTCCATACTGACCAATGCTTATGTTTTTATATTTAAAATCAAAGCATTTGATGTGGTGCTAGAAGTCAGAATTCCAGGGTGTTTGTGGATGTATAGAGAACCAGTGTCCTTCATAAAGATTTTTTTAAACTATAGTTGGATAGTCACACTGCATGTGTGTCTAGAACCTAGAAGAATTACATTTTTGGACCACAGCTTCCAGAATCTGCCAGTCACTATAGCCACTGGCTAACAGGCTAACTACAGTCAACCCTCCATATCCACAGATTTTTTTTATTCATGAATTCAAGCGTTCATGGTTTGAAAATATTTTTAAAATTATACATTTCAAAAAACAAACACTGATTTTGCCATTTTATATAAGTGACACCATTTTACTATGCCATTATAATTAATGGGACTTGAGCATCCACAAACCACCTGTTCAGGGATTTAAAAGAGTAGAACCAGACCTTTGGATTGTCTATAGAAGGCAGCCCCATATATAATGTACTACAATAATCCAAACAGACTGTTACCAGAGTTTACAGAATTGCGTCCAGGATAGTTCAAGAACAGCTGCAGGTAGCACACCAGTTTGGGGCTCCATTATGAAAGCCAAACTAAACAGCAGCCCCATGGAAATCTACTTCCCGACTTTTGGAGGATGGGTAAAATTCTTCATTTTGAAGGCACAGTATTTGAATCAATCCATGATGTTGCCATAGTACACACAACTTAACCGCACTTGATAAATGCCAAGCATTTCAGTTGCCTCTTACTATATTTTCCACTTGACTGCGGTATTTGAGAAGAGAAAACTGAATCTATTTTCATGAATATGCTGAAGCTGCAGGAGTAGAGAAAATTAGATATTGATTATGTAGAAGAAAGAGGAAGTGTTAATTGAGGAGAACCAAAGCTTACCTTTGCTGTTCTGGGTATTCCCATGGCTCTGATTGCTATAAATTTGCTGAGGATGCTTCATAAGTGATAAATAATACATGTAGAAAACTGGGCTTAAATGCATGAATATATATTGTGTGTCATGTGCTGGCCATTCATACAAGATGAGAACAAGTTA